CTCTAAGACACAGTATGACAGATGACAAAAAATATCTCAATAATTGTTAGTTTTTAGTACATGCTGAAATTATAATATTCTGGATATATTGGGTTAAATAAGTATCAATTTCACACTTTTGAAACATTTAGGAATGTGGCTGACAGAAAAATTTTAAAATTATATGTGCAGCTTGCATTACATTTCCTTCAGAGAGCCCTGGGTTAGATCAACAATTGCCGTTCCTACCATTCAAAATGGATCTTGTTCTTTTTTTCTTACTGTTCATCTAGTTAAGCAAGTTGGGAGAGATAATCAATGACCCTGTGTCCCTTAACATGGGCCACTTGTCTGTTCTGTTTCCTTAGTAGCTCATGCATCTGCCCTCTTTTCCAGCTCCCCTGCTTGCCTAGGTTATTAAAATCCCATTTAAATGCTTCCTTACCTAATGGCCCCTCGGATCCATACTGCTCCTTCAATCGTGCAGTCTCTCTGTGGCCTTTAGAGACATTTAGAATTCTTCGTCAAGGCATAAAATTCCCTTCACAATTGACCTCAACTCTTTAACTACTCTTACCTCCCCTTCAGCTTAGCTTCAGTAAGTCTTCACAAGTGCTTCTCCTGCCTGTAGCAACCCCTCACCCTCGCCCCAGTTCATCACAAATAGCAAGATTTGAGTCCTAGCTCTACAATTTATTGTCAAACTGAAAAAGTCACTCAACATCTCTGAGCTTCATTTTTATTCTCCCTGAGAAAGGAATACTGATAGAATCTGCCACTCATTTGTTGCAAGGAACAAATGAAGTACTGCATTGTACAAATGGTTCCTGATATATTGTAAACCTATGATAAATGTTACTGTTGAACATTTCCTGGAAAAATATGTGTGTCCTCACAGTACCCACACACTGTGTATCCTCCCATGGTTTCTCCCTTGAGCTCTCACAGCATTCTGAACACCCCTCAACCACAGCTCCTCTTTCTGTATTTTAGCCATCTGTTTACTCATCATTCTTGCCTCTGGATCAGTAGCTCTCAAATTGTGGTAACAGGAACAGTAGACCAAACATCCCTAGTAGCAAGGCAGATTCCTGGGGCCCACCCCATTCTACTAAATCAGAAACTCTGGGACAATCTGCATTTTAACAGATCCTCAATGTGAGACTGAAACTTGTGCCTTTGAGAATGACTATTAGAGCAGAGCTCCATGTCTGGGACTATAATTCAATTCATCTCACATTGGTGCCCAGCTCAGGGACCTTTTGTAAAATAGTAAAAAAAAAAAAAAAAAGATTGAATACGACAATAGAGTGGGGCCACAGAAGGACATCAAGCAGGGGAATGCCATTGTCTGTCTTTTAGAAGGTTAGTTCCATAGGTTGGGTTGAATTAGATTGGAGACAGAAGTAACTCCAGGGAAGTGAATTTGGGTATTGAAAAATTATCACTTGAAAATCTGGATTTACAGTTCAGGTAGAAAAAAGTAATTATTTACAAAAAATATGTTTTCCTTTTAAAAATATTCCTTGTAAACTTATCTTAAATGTATTATTTAACATCATATTTTATATAGTGTTTTATGAATTTGTTGCAAAAGTAGGCATTTATATATGAAATCATTAATAAATATATTTTCTTACAAATTATGACTAAATTTTCAAAAACAGTTCTAAAATCTTGAACAGATTTAGTATTTATGAGTTTTTTATGTATGTAGCACAATTCTCTGGATTATAAAAGTAAAATTTTATGACAATTGTGTGTTTAAGAATTAAAATAACATTTAAAGTTCAATATTAATATAGAAATAAAAATAGTTTTGTTTGAAAGCATGTCTTGGTGCAGAGACTATATGTTACTCATCTTATTTTGAATTAAAATAAGCCAATTACCTGGAAATTTTTCAACTTATAAGATATTAGTGCTCAAATTAAAAGAAAAACTAATATTAATACGTAGCATAAAGAGCAAAGGAAACCCAAAGACCCATGACTCTTAAGAAAATTATAAGGCTGAAGAAGCCTCTCCGTGTTACATACCCATCTCACATCAGCAGATTCTCTTCCCAACACTTGGAAAGAAATTAAGTTTATTCGTGGGCACGTTTGGACCTTCATCTCAGATAAAGATTTCACATTTTCTCCTGAGCTCTGAATAATCTCTACAAAATGAGGGCTTTTAGCCCTTTACATTTTGATTCCTCCATTTGGAAGACACTACTAGTTGCCCATGCCTATTTCTTTTGCCTTGCTAATAGAACTTCAATTTTCATTTTATGGAGGCAGTAGCTGTCCATCCCTAG